CTACAGGTTGCGAGTCTGCTAGTGTTCCACTGGACTGTCTAGAATAGTCTGTGGTTGTCATATATACTCTGCTAGATGACTGGGCCAACGCTTGGGTCAAGGCTTCTCATTATTTTTCACCTCTCATCATCTATATCATCTTTCATCTCTCATATCATATTTCATATACCCATCTTTACCCATCATAATTATAGGTATAAAAATACGTATACAGTTTAAATCAAATAAAACATGTATATTCTGTCCATCCAGCATAGATATCAAGGACACAGATAATATGCACACGTAGCGTGTAATTTATATTAAATACTTCATATCTATGTGTAAGATGAAAGTAACTATACACTCACTTGTTAAAGTGGTGATTCCAACTTGGACAACGCTTCGCTCCTTAACGATATAATTTTCTTCGACGAAACCTAGTATTATTACCACTAGATTTTAGTATAATATTTATCGCGCCTAATTACGAACGTTATTATTTTATAAGTGTTAAACAATAATTTTCAACCACTATGTACAGACACGGTCCAGACATAAAACACCGGGGGGCAGGACCATTTTGACATATAGCGCTTCTGAAATCCAACAACCCTATGCGGCCCTTTAAATCAGATTCCCCATACCGCGAGTAGTTAAAAGATATTATAATAACACTTTATATATTATATTTTAAAAAATATATATTGTTTATAAGTTTATAATAACGAAACTAAATTTAAACATAAGCTATATTTAAAGTAGGGTAAACATATCTCACTTACCGGGAGGTTTGCTAGAAACCGGGCTCTGCGGAGGTGGAACTTTCCGAGATGAAAAGCTCTTTTTCTCGGAGCCTTCTGGTGCTCCAGAGCTTTCTTTTAGCGCTAGGGAAGTTTCTTATGGCTTAGGGGTGTTTTGGGAGGGTTAGAGAGATGTTAGAGAGAGAAAGAAGTGGTTTAAGGTGTGAAGAATGAGGCTGCCCTCACATCCCTTTTATAGGCGCTGAGTTGCGGTTACACTGGGCGTACCCTCGGTGGTACACTGCGCGTAAGGGGGCACGTGTCATCCTTCGGACGGGGCGTCATGGCTTGCTTCGGAACCGCGCATTGGGAGATCGCAGGGTGTACCTTCGGTTTACGTTGGGCGTACTCGGTACGCAGGGCGTCCGAAGTGTTACACTGGGCGTGCGAAGACCACATGTCAGCATCCGAGGCGAGGACCGTAGGGAGCAAGCAAGGGCCGAGATTCGGCCACGTCACCCATTTTGCATCAGCCTCCTTCCGACTTCTAAAACCCGTAACTTTCGCATACAAGCTCCGTTTTCGACGTTTTTTATATCCACACGTAGGTGGGAATGTACTCTACAACTTTCGTTTAGATTCCATCGGCTAATTTTGACTTTATTTTTAAAGTTATATTTTTAACAGGTCGGGACAGGAAAAGTCCGTTAAAAATTCATAACTTTGTCATCCGAGGTCCGTTTTCGTCTATCTTTTTATTGTTGAGCTCCTATTAACGAGATCTTCGATTCTCGTTTAGGTTGTGTCGTCTAAAAATCGGTCGATCTAATATTCAAATCTCGGGCTGCATACTGTTATGCCGAATCTTGGAAAAATCATAACTTCTTTATACGAAGTCAGATTTGGGCGTTCTTTTTATGCACGCTCTCGGTTTAACGTATACTACGACTTTCGTTTAGATCGCTAAGGCTTAAAAGTACTTTATCGTAAACTCACTTCTTACGTCACACAACGTCGTGTCGGTTTTGCTGCGAAACTTCGACAGGTCATAACTTCTTCGTTTTAATTCAGATTTCAGCATTCTATATATGTACGGAACCCTTGTGACATATACTACAACTTTGGTTAATATTATTTACTCTAAATAATCTTCTATCAAAAAGTCGTTTTTAATGCTCATTGTCTCTAAATTGAATATCCCGAATCTGCGGACATTACACATAAGGGTTGATACGAAGCCGGGGGTTGATACGGACCCTTTACAGCTACGTGCTGTCATATGGGGTTGATACAGACCTGGCACAACCACATGCTGTTATATGTATATGTGTGTTGTATGGGTATTTTGGGGAACCCAATAAGCTTTTCGCTTACAGTTTTATGTTTAAATATTTCAGGTTTCTTATTTTGAAGGAAAGGGACAACTTGATTGCATCGCATTCATTGGAGATTTATACACTTAATAACTTTTATGTCTAGTCTCCGATAAATGTTTTAGACCAATGGGTTCATCTAGATCTTTGAAGTTGTAATTGTAATAAATGCTTTTGTTTTGAAATCACTTTGACTCTGATCGCCTTTTGGAACAATGAATGAACGGCTTTAACTTATTTAAAAATGAAATTTTTACTCTGTATTTTTAGGACGTTACAAACACATATTTATTTAATCCTATTTACAACGTGTGCAAGTTTTTTTCTCCAAATCAACTATTTTCACGTTTATTTTTTCCTATCTGAATAACCGGTTTAAATATCCCTTTTGCACGGTTGAAAGATTTCAGAGTGTGTGAACTAGCTATGTAGCAACATGAAAAGTAAACACATCTCGATTTTCATGATAAGTGGTTCCCAAAGAATACATCACATCAAAGTAGTGAACCAATATATCTAATGTAAGTTTGCCTTTGGTAAAAAAAATCAAGCACCTGTAAGTTGGTAATGCAAGTCGGTAAAAATGATTAAATTAAGACAATTTAGAAAATTCATTACTTAAAAATAGAAAAAAATAAATTAAGTGACTAAAAATGAACAAATATAATAGTTCATTTGTCACTATAACATTTTTCTTAAAGTTTAACCGATACTAAATACAATATCATATCAATATTTAATATGTTAAAAATTACAATGAGATTGAAGGAAAACGAGCAACAAGCTGCACCGTTAATCCTTTATGGATTGCAAAACTAACTCTTTTAAAAAATTACGTCCATGGATCTAAGGGTGATGACAATTTAGGGCTGACAAAATTATACCACGGAAAACCAACCAACACGTTACCAACCGAACAAAGAAACTTGGTAGCCAATATATTTGGTAGCCAACATGTTTGGTTGGTAGTACCATACCGATTGATCAATGTTGGTACGGTAATGGTACAAAAGTTTGAAAACCATGGTAATATCTTACCAACCAATTCATATATATATATATATATATATATATATATATATATATATGAAATCATATATTTCAACTGTTAATTGTGTTTAGTGTTTATAGTTTTAATAACATTATATTAGTCATTTTGTCGTATTAGTCAATAGTTATTACCACGTTAAAGCACAAAATTTAAAAATGTTACTTTAGCGCTTCTTCAGTATAATTCTTTAGTGAACTAAAAGAACTACGTAACTAGTTTTTATACTAAACATCAAAATCCTGATGTCTTTGCTTATTTTTAAATCTTCCAATAGAAAATTAAAAGAAGTTGGTATATACCATTACCAATTTGCATCAACCAAACTTGTTGGCAGCCAAATAAATTGGTACCAAGTATACTTTGTACGATACCGGTAACAATTTTTTTATACCAATTATAATTGGTACGGTACACGTTTTAGAGAAAAATGAATTGGTACCGTACCAATTCCACTTCTAGATGACATTATATTTAATGCATGACTCGTTGCACTCGTTTGAGGAGTTCCACCGTTTCTGATGCTAGGAAACCAATTGTATCAAAAGCAAATTGTATAAACACATGTTGATTAGCAATACAAGCTTTTTCGAGTTTGTCTAGTTTACTTGAGACTACTTTTAAAGCAGCTTAACCTGCAGTGAAACCCTCATTCCTCAAGCTTTCTAGGGGGGAATTCCTATTAGATCCAGACAAACATGTTTCCCTTATATCCACCCAAAAACCAAAATATATGTCGATCTAAGTGTTATTCTTCCCCCGACGGACCAGTCAGAAACTTCACGTGTGCTTCTTTCCTAGCCGAAACCTCGACCCTCGTAAATACGTTAAAAATAACATCTCTAACCATATCATATATGTACTTAAAGCGTAGGAGCTCTCGACAATGTACTGTATGGTCTCCAACAGGGTCTAAGCAGGCTTTACGGCAAACTGGGCATATCTCGTCAATAGGAAATAAATGGATCATGAAGCGATGTTGGTGATTTTAGTGTCACCTAACATTTTGTGTAATTGGAACTACATGTGAGCTAAGGGGCTTATCGTTTGTACTCTATATTATATGTTTGGTGATTGCGGAGTGCATGCATATATAAGATCAGATTATAAGCCGGTATGATAGAAAAACAGGGGTCTAAGGGGTCGCGCCCCCTTGCATGGTCTCTGCCCCTAGCGGGTCCAAGGGGCAGCGCCCCTGACGGCAGCAGGCAGGGTCGAGGGCATCGCCCCAAAAGGTATTCAAAAATTTGAATTAGTTACATTATGGAAAAACCGAATTCTAATGGGTGATTATGATAAAATTGATAAAACTAACCAATTTTGGTAACCATTGAGTATACCATTAATTTCGTGATTTTCCTAATTAATATAGAAGATAAACCCTCTCCGAGATATATACGACTCCTGTATTGAGCCGTCTATAACCTTTCTTCACTTTTCCTTCTTCTATACAAACTCAAAACCCTCTTGCGATTTGACTTGTGTTTCTGTGCCTAGATACACAAGTGTCATTTTGGATTATCCTAGACTGGATTTCCTGTAACCCTACATAGGATGAGAATATCAGTTCGGAAAGTAAACTTACACGATCTAAGAGAAATCCGGTTCTCCACCATCACTCTACTCAAATATCCTCCAACAAGCGATACTTAAGGATAGTCTGATACTCCATGGATGACGTATGTTGGTCAAGACCATCTATATGGATAACAAGAAGAAAATCTTAAGTACTCTTGGACACTCAAAAACTACATACCATTGAAAATTTTGCTAAAAAAACCTTTTTTAAAAATAGACAAAAATAAAAGAAATATTTGTTGGTTATTTTAACTTTTTCTCTTAATCAAAATCGGAATCCAATTATCAAATAACACATCCAGTTAACCCGAATAAAACTTTAGGTTTTCAGATCTGGTAACAATTGCAAGACCAAATTCATATTGGATCTTGGGTTGATTACTGATCAGCCAAATCTCGAACAAACCGATCCAAAATTCAAAACCAGCCGTGTGCAAATTTGGCTATTTGCTTTGAATTTTTGTCTACTCGGAGAACGGTAGAAAATACACCGGAGATATTGAAGATCGGTATAATTCATTGGATTGAATTGATGATGGTAACATGAGACCCACGCACCAGAGTGTATAATCACAGCTCGTCTCGTCTGGCCCCTCACCCCCACTTTCGATCTGACAATGCAAGTTGATTTCTTAGGGTTTCTATCTACGAATACTGATTCCAGCAAATCCAAGTGAAACAACGGTATATGTGATTTGATTGAGATTGGAAGTGTAAAGACTGGATTGATTGATGCTGTACAAATCGTGAAAAAGAAATGGATCCAAAGCCTTCCCCCAGATCGGGAAGGTTCGCCCCTATTAATCGACATAATTCTACCCCTTCCTCCTTGTTATCGAAATCACTTTCCGATGCAAGTACCCAAAACTTATCCTCCATCCTCAACAACCCACATGTCTCCGACGGCTCCTGGGTCGGTTGGTGGTCGTCTTCAACTGCTGTACAAGTCGCTGAATTTGCTCCTCCTGCCGCCAACAAAACCCCTGGTTTAGAAATAACTAGATCCGATTTCACATCATATTTATCCTCAATCTCCGATCACCATAGCCGTTTCGAAGACATTCGGAACCATTCAAACAAGGAGAGCAGGGATGCGGATGCCATTGATCACCATGAGAGGGCAGGGGAAGCTCTTGTTGCGTGTTTGCGGGAAGTTCCTTCATTGTATTTCAAGGAGGATTTTGCACTCGAAGATGGAGCAACTTTCAGGGCAGCTAGCCCGTTCTCTACTATCGCTGAGAACACCGTGTTACAAGAAAAGTTGTCTCAGTACTTGGATGTGGTCGAGCTTCATTTGGTTAAGGAGATCTCGCTGCGTTCCAATTCGTTTTTTGAAGCACAGGGTCAGTTAGAAGATTTGAATCTTAAGATTGTTGAAGGGTGTAGTCGGATCCGGGAATTGAAGGAGACGATTAGGCTTTTGGATGTAGATTTAGTGGATTCAGCTCGTCAAATTCAGGAGTTAAATCATACCCGGAGCGATATGTTGGCACTGCAGGAGAAGCTTAGGCTTATATTATACGTTAACCAATCTCTTGCTGCTCTTAAGTTGGTAACCCTTCTGTTTTGTTTTTCTGGTGTTTCTGTGTCTGTGTGTGCTTATTTGGAAATCCTTGATTGAACCACATTGTTATCAATTGACATTTAACAACAATTTCGATGCAAACAATAACAACTTTACTGTAGCATCCTACTTTCATTTCTTCCTACTTCCATTTTTCAATTTATAATGCCCTAATCAGAAAAAATGTTGAAAGTAAAGTACAACACTGTAAGGAAGAAATGGAAGTGGGATACATTGCCAGTCTTGCATATAGCCCTTTAACAACTGTTTGAGTTTATTTATCTTTCTGAAGTTAATTTACCACCTATGGAACTCCATACTCAAGGGACACTATGTGCTTCTAAAGTATATATATATATATATATAGGTTATAGTAGAGATAGATGTAAATGAAAACTAAGAAACTCAAGAGAATCCCGATAAGCTGTTAAAGAAAAGGAATCTAAATCCATACTCCACAATTGTTAAAGAGAACCCCCAAGGTTATGGTGAGCTAAATGACCAAAATGCCCAAACTGGGCAGTTGCGAGGGTACCCGCGCGACGAAAATTCCACCCGCGCAAATGTTGTTGTAATGCTATTGATCCTTCATTCCACCACTCCACCCTTCCACTACCAAAGATTCCTTTGGTCCCCTCCATATCCATGAGATTCAAATCAGCCAATCATCTTTTAGCTTCAAATGTGGATGCTCCAAACCCAAATTAATTATCCATGATCCATCTTCACAAGCCCACTTCATCCAAGCCTTTATCTTTTTAAGCCCAAATCTTCTTTGGTGGATCCGCCAAGCCCAATAGCGCCTCGAGAGCCCACAAGTCCGTCTTCACTCTAATCCACAATCGCGATAAGCTCCAAAACCCTGCAAAATTCCTCATGCAACATAAAAAACACCCGGTACGATCCATACTAAAGAAAAATAAATAAAATACAATGCAATAATGATAAAAAGATCTAAAAATCTAAAATAAACTAATAAAAATAAGGAAATAAAATAAGCTATCATGTCTTTTTCTGTTACAACATACAAAGGTCTTTTAGTGACAACGAATTATCTGAAGAGGTTTTATCTAGGTCATTAATAATCAACATAACATAGATTTGGATCGTTGGAAACTCAAAAACAAGTGGATCAATTGTGATACATGGTTAAATTAAGGGTTAAATGCAAGAAATAGCCATGTAGTTTCATTAGTTTGTTTAGTATAGCATCATACTTTTATTTCTTCTTATTACAACATTGCATTTTGAAATGACTGTAATTCTCTTGTTATTTTGTTTTATAGCTTGTTGCATCTGCTGATTGTGCTGGAGCTTTAGACGTGACTGATGATTTGAAGCATTTTCTGGTACTTGAATTCCATAATACTGTCTTATGCTTGATAACATCCTTCTTGTATGGTTTTATTTGCTATAATTAAGGAGTTCATCAGTTATCATTAGTCAGGGTGAATAGCATTGACATAATATGTTTTCTTTTATGCCTGAAAGAAATTATACATCAATTCATATTAATTTCACAACTAGTTGGATACTTGTGCTAGCTTCACTATAGCATTGCCATAAAGAACTACTTTAACCAGCAAGTTACAAATCTAAATTCTACTAGATGTGAAGCATTTGCTGCTGTACTATGTAAAATTTAGGGGTTGTTTCTTTTTTCCCATTAAGTCATGTATGGGTAAAGTGGCCGAATGTCTGGATGAAGTGTTGTATACATATGGTCTGTTTCTTTTCTAGACTGAATAAAGTGTCTGAATGAGACTTTTTAATGTGAGAGGAGTTGGGGAGGTATTAAAAAGAAGGGACACTAGATAAAGAGTTTGTGCATGAATAGATTAAAAAGCCAGGTTTTTTTTGGCTTAACACATTATGTCAATCTGTCCAGATTAAGTAAAAATGAAACAGTCCCTTAGTCCCCCACTTTCTTGGATGAAATGCAATGAGAAAGGTAAGAGGATGAGCAAGAGAATGGAATAGGAAATTACCATTTCATTACCATATTTTGTTGAACTTTTGAAATGAATCTATTCAAGTTCATTGTTTCTTATGTATGAATAGATCGCCAAAATTAAGTTAGAAACAATGACAAAGATACCCTTTTTAAAAGATAAATTCCACCAGCTATTTTACCTATATAATATAACCATGGGCTTAATATGTCATGTCAATGTATAGGGTTTAAATGAATGCTTTTTTACAAGGGTGAACTCTATATAAACACAATGATGTAATAGAAAGAAATGAAACTCAGATGCTATAATAAACAAAAAATAGAAGCACATTGCTCTTTCTTGCATTTTGCCTTGTAAGTTATAATATATATATATATATATATATATATATATATATATATATATATAATTGTCTTTAATTACAGGATGGGGATCAATTGACTGGCCTACATTGTTTTCGTCACCTTGAGGATCATGTAGCTGCTGCAATAGATTCTGTAAATAGGTTAGTATCCACATCATTTATGTGTGTATGTATGTTTTTGTTTTACTTATTTCTATATTCTTTTAGAATTCTGTGCTGTGACTTGTATTATTTATTTTTGTAGCATTCTTTCAACAGAGTTTTTGCGTGCATCTATCAATGATTCTGGAGATAAGGATGTGGTTATATTAACTAAAGCAAAAGCAAAGATGGCCCCACTGGGAAATGGAGAAGATAATGAAGTATGAATAGATTATATTTTCATTTTATTTATAACTACAAGACTAAATGATTTAATTGTGTGATACAGGTAAACTTGTATGAAGAAGACACCTCAAGTTTCCATGATCGACTTTTACCTCTTATTATTGGCTTACTTAGAACTGTAAGTACTAAATATACATTTAATATATTTCGGAAATCTTTTTATTTGAAATTTCTTATGTATTTTGTTAATTTTCAGGCAAAACTTCCAACTGTTTTGAGAATATATCGCGATACAGTTACATCTGACATGAAAACTGCTATAAAATCGGTTGTTGCAGAGCTGCTTCCTGTTCTTCTTGCAAGACCTTTAGACTCTGATTTTAAATCAAACGATCGAATTGTTGATTCAGATGGTGTGCATATTCTTCACTACTTTTTATCTTTCACCCATAATACCAACATACCTATTAATATTATTCACTCTTATATACTCAAAACACTGAAAGAGAAAAAGAAAACTTTTATGGAATTTGTGTAAATATTAGTTTTTGGTGCACAGGTGGAGGCTCATCACTTGCAAGTAAGTTAAGAAGCTTGTCTTCTGAAAGCTTTGTTCAACTTCTTGGCACCATTTTCAAGATTGTACAGGTAATGTGTGATGTGATTGGAGATTTAAACTCTTTTTTAAATTAATGCATCAATAAAATGTAACTTGATTTATATTGTATTAGTGAATGCAGGCACACTTACTTCGAGCTGCTGAAGTTAAAAAAGCCATTGAATGGATAATGTCCAATCTTGATGGTCATTATGCTGCTGATTCAGTTGCTGCTGCAATTGCTCATGGTGCTTTAAATTCCGAAAATGCCCCTCTCGGTGATTCTCAGTCTGGATCCTTTCCTAGGAATTCTATCAAGGTGTCCCCAATCCAACCAAAATCGAACGATGCCACAAGTCCATCAAATTTATCAAAAAATTTCAGGTGATCTGTTATACTATATACATATGTTGCTTATTTGTTAGAAATTTTCTAACAAGGGCAAATTTGTCATTTAACAGAGCTGATGTATTGAGAGAAAACACGGAAGCAGTGTTTGCAGCTTGTGATGCAGCTCATGGAAGATGGGCAAAACTTCTTGGTGTGCGTGCTCTTTTGCATCCAAGACTAAGGCTTCAAGAGTTTTTACAAATATATAACGTGTCACAAGAATTTGTTACTGCAACAGAGAAGGTAAATTTTATAGTTTTAAGATTGAATTACATGTTTAAAATTTTAATCTATAATGTTTTTTATTTTTTTAAATCTATGGTTACATATACAGATTGGTGGAAGGTTGGGATATAGCATCCGTGGAACATTACAGTCTCAAGCCAAAGCTTTTGTTGATTTCCAACATGAATCTCGGGTAATTTTTTATTTATCAAATATAATATCTAAATAATGGGGGTGGCTAACAACTAACAACAATTTGTTTGATTATAGATGACAAAACTGAAAGCAGTGCTTGATCAAGAAACATGGGTTGAAGTAGATGTGCCTAATGAATTCCAGGGAATTGTGGATTCCCTGTTTAGCTTGGAATCCTTAGGAGTTGGTGATTCCGATGATAAAAGCTACAATGAACAGGCTGTTGATGGAATTGTGGATACCACTGGACAGGTGGAATTTATTTATTAATAGAATGAAGTTGATTATAACTTTTTATTTATTTGAATTTTGTGTGTTTCAGGTTAATAATGTTAAAACAAAGAATGAACATGGAAAATCTGGTGCTCATTTGATCTCATTCAGAGGTGTTGGGTACCACATGGTAAACTGGTTAGTAATCCTGTAAACTAACCTAATTTATATATGAATTTAGTGTAGAATTATAGAATATTGATATATTTATTTGTTGTGTGTTTCTTCAGTGGGTTAATCCTGTTGAAGATGTTATCAGAGTACATTGATATGAATGCTGTTTTGCCAGCACTTTCATCTGAAGTTATTCATCGTGTTCTTGAAATGTTGAAATTTTTCAACACAAGGGCTTGTCAGCTTGTTCTTGGTGCTGGTGCCATGCAGGTAACTTTTCTTTTTTCTTTTTCTTTTTTTTTGTTAAAATATATATATATATATATATATATATATATATTAAATCCTGTTTAATTGGCATTTTCCAGGTGTCTGGTTTAAAGTCGATTACATCAAAACATTTGGCATTGGCAAGTCAGGTTGTGAGTTTTGTGCATGCTATTATCCCTGGTAGGTGCTTTTTGCTTTTATTTATAGACTTAATAAAACGTCTGAATGAAACTAAATCACCATTTTATCCTTACATTCCACATAATAATAACTTGTTCATCTGTGTGTGTGTATGTATGTATGTATGTAAGAAATTAGGAGGATTCTTTTCCTGAAAGTACCTGAGACACGAAAAGTAATGCTGTTATCAGAAATTGAACGAGTATCACAGGTAATAAATAAACTATTTTACAAATTTTTCTCCCATTCTTGGGTATTATAAAGTGAGTATAAATATTAAATTAAAAATTGTGAAATAAATTTTTTTTGTAGGATTATAAAGTGCATAGAGATGAGATACATACAAAACTGGTGCAAATAATGAGGGAAAGGCTGTTAGTTCATCTTCGTGGATTACCTCAAATTATTGAAACATGGAATCGATCAGATGAAACTGATGTACAACCCAGTCAATTTGCTAAATCACTCACCAAGGTAATAAATAAATATATGTATTTTTTAAATTTCATATATTATAATAATATTGCTTCTTTATTGTTTATTTTTTTTTGGTAAATGTGTTTGGTGGTTTATTGATTAATTTTTAGGAAGTTGGATATCTTCAACGTGTGCTTTCACGAACTTTGCATGAAGCTGATGTTCAAGAAATATTCAAGTGAGCCTTTTTTCTTTTTTCTTTTAATCATGATATAAAATTCTTTTTCTTTTTTCACTTAGTTTAATTGAGTACATGTGATTAATGTTTCTTGCAGAGAAGTGACAATCATCTTTGACATACAAATATCTGATGCATTTTCACACGTGGATATTACCAATCAACAAATAAAAACCAGGTTCTTGCACAAAATTTACAAATTTATTTCATTGACTTCACTAATTATTGAATACCATAAATTTTTTAATTCTTTAAAAGGACTCACCATTTTAATTATATGTTCTTTTTATAGGCTTAATTGTGATATCCAGCATATCCTTGGATGCATAAGATCATTGCCATCAGCCAAGTTAAGTAGTGAGTCGGGGGCCCCACTTGCAGGTCAACTTGAGTCTTTGGTCCAAAAAATATCTGCTGAAGCTGCTGATCAATAATAGTATATTATTATTATTATGGGTAGTAGTTAATTCATTACACAAACAAACAGCAAAAGCCAATTGGAGGTAAAAAGACGTAAACGCCCTTGTAATTTGTATCTCTCAGATGATTTGTTTATAGGGAGAGGGTAGTAATTGTGAGATATTGGTTGGCAGGTGCTTGATCATATGATGCAATTTTCAAAAATACAAATTTTGAGGAGACTACTTTTGGTAACGGGAATGTATAACTTAATGGGTACAGATAAGAGATGTAAGATTGAAGTTGATTGATATTTTTCTTTTTTTCATTTTGTGTTTGATTTTGTTTTGTTACTTTTGGTGGTTATATATATTCTTGGCAGATAGTAGTGATTTTGTATTGGCTGCAATTCGTGTATCAAAACCGTACAATCTAATACAATGATTTCACCCATCTATAAAACTGATGATAAATAACAAATGTTATAAATCATTGTTGGAAAGAAAGGATGAGAATAAATTGATGGGTGAAAATGAGGGGAAGCATGTGGACGGGTTGGGTGGGAGTAGACATGGTAAATGTGTTGTATAAATTAAAATGAAACTAGAAAGTTTAAACGATAAAAATGCCAAAAAAAAAAAAAACATTGATATATATATATATATATATATATATATATATATATATATATATATATATATATAGGTACTTGTCGTTTTTGTCTTTTTCACTATATCATCGGACGAGAAGTTGGTTCAATATCGGGTATTTCGTTGTTGTCGTTAAGGTCAACTTCGATATCTCACTCATATCAGCATCCCATAATAATTGATGAGTTCGAGTCGGTTGATTACGAGATTGCGAACCTCGATACATATTTTCAACCTTCCCAAAGCGTTTTTTTGTATTATCTTTTTATAACACAGCCAAAAAAAAAAAAACTTGAAATTCATCCCTATTCCTTCACCAAACATGTATTCCGGTTCGTTAAATACTTGCCTTATTTTCCCCGCTTTTCTATTGGTTGTACAAGTTGTACATATCATTACAATTGTGAGACCACTTCGTTGACCTTTCCCCTTTTCGAGTACACTTGGTCTTTAGTTACGTAGTTAATTAATGCTGTGTTGCATCCCTCGGAAAACAAGTCGTAACACGAAGCCAAAATTGGTTCGACTTTTGGTCATTGCCAGTGTGTGTCTTTCAATATATCGGTCCATGCTCTTGCCAACTCAACCTCCTCTTCTTGATCTCATTTCTTATTTGGGGCCTTCCTTTCGGGTTTTGTTTTTTATTTTCTTGCTTTGGTTTTGGGTTGGGTTTCGTGATGGGGTTGGAATGGGGCTTGGAATGAGGTTGAAGTTTGATGCAAAAAGTTGTTGTGGCGACATTTAGTATTGGGTATATAACGATTGAACAACACTAAACATTGAGTTTGGAGATTAGATTCGGGTGTCTAGTTGTGGATAGTTCGGGTGTGATGAAGAAGGATCGAAGACAAAAATGTTTGGGGTGGAAATGTTGGAAGAATTGGTGTTATTTTGGGGAATTATTTGAAGACATTTTTAGTGAAAGTGTATGAAGAATTAGTGTTTTAGTTGTAAAATAATGCTGGTAAAATTGTTGTATTATAATGGTAAAAAAGAAAAAAGAAATATATATATATATATATATATATATATATATATATATATATATATATATATATATATATATATATATATTGTTGTATTGTATATCCGTTTTATATAGAAAAGGTAAACAAGTGCCAACAAGAATATGTCGTGCTTGGTGTATTTTTGTGCACGTTGTCCAAATGGGCGGTGTTTTTTCGCATGTTGTTCAAAAGGGAAGTGTTCCTTCGGCATACCGTCACCGCTTCAAATGTCAGCACCCTCACTCCATTCGGCCTTAGACTCAATGTTAACATAATGATGCATCGACCTTCTAAATATAGATGGAATATACCATTCCTTGTAACCACCAATTAGTATCTCTTAATGTCAAGCTCATCTTCCACACATAAATATTCAAGTAAAAAATGGCCGCTACTTAATCCCACAATTTGTATGTCAAGTAAAGGGTTACCTCTGAACCATTGAGTTTGTCCATCTTTTTACCTAAAAATGATCATAGTACCTTTTTTCTAATGGTTTAACACACACATCTTCTAATTCTACTATTAAATTTTCACATTTATCCACGATGAAAATTAAACCCTCAACCACAAACATTTTTCCTACACACATTGATACGGCCATTCCAAAGACTCTTTAGCAGTACACCTCCTAACGATTCAACCTTACAAGATTTCCTTCTTACACATTATATTTCATCTTTTCCGACAAAGACTCTTTAGCAGTACACCTCCTAACGATTCAACCTTACAAGATTTCCCTTCTTACCCTTAATCTAAAATATTTCTCTTTCTCTTTTCTTATATGTCGACATAATCTCTCCCACGAAGACAACCCATCGATGTATTCACTGAAGCCCACATATCGCCCTCCTTCCCCGAAATCTTCACCGCATGTAAGCTTCTTCCTCGTCTTCCTCCTTCCCCGTCATTGATATTTTCTTGTGTGAGAGTGCATCTTCCCCGTCATTGATTTCTTCTGGTGCAAGAATGTTTTTAGTTTTTCTTTTTTCATGGAATTTCGTTCAGGATGGAACCCGTCCGATTGGAGCTAATGCTAGTATCTAGGGCTTCTGATTAATACTTTATCTTTATGGCGGGTGTTGAAAGGAATAAAATAGACAGCTATATATATATATATATATATATATATATATATATATATATATATATATATATATATATAACTTATGTCTTTTTTTTAGGCTCGTCTTGAACAGTTGAAGATACTAAAATTCTCAAGACCGACCTGCTTATCTTCTTTATTATTTTTGTCGTTTTGTCTGATTTTTGAAAATTAGGATTTATTGAAAGACTAAACTTTCATATTATTTCTACTTTATTCCTTTCCAAATTTTATGAAAACAGGCACCAGTTACTAATTTGTGAATTGGTTAGACAAAACTGGTTTTTTCAAAGTTATTTTTTGTTAGAAGATCAAACCGGTAAATTTTTTTTCATAACATGTTCAGCAACCTTACCAAACAAAACTAAATCATTCGGATTCCATAACACGTTTGTCATAACACAATTTGCAACCATATACTCGTTAAACAACTTTACACATTTATAAAAACTAAAATATTAACCTAAAAAACGTATCCCAACTGGAAAAAAACATCCCAAATTTTTTTCTGCACAATAATTACCCATAAATAAAGACTTAAAAACACTACACATACTCGTACGTCTTTCCTTCAACTCAACAGTTTATGCCACAATACTTAACATCCGGGCCCGTAACCCGAGTCGTAAACGGGTCAATCCTCACCCACAATAACGAGAAGATCGACGCAAGAAGAATCGACCACACAACAACAATCGTCGGCATCCGATTCTGTTTCCCCATCAAACCCTTGAGAAAAGGGTAAAGATGTACAATCACCCAAAACGCAAAGAAAAGTTTACCAAATAGCGGGCCCCACGACTGATACCCACTGTTAATCGCGTACGAAATTCCGGCCACTACTCCGACTAGGTTCACAATCAAGAGAGTCGTCGGCGCAATCAGAAGCGTCGTCCATTTAAACAAGTAAAGCTCCGCAAAATCACCGTCTTCGTCCGACGCCTTTGAGGTGACGGTGAAATTGGTGTCGATTCCGGCGAGAACTTTGAGCAGACCTTGAAATACGGCGAAGAGATGAGCGGAAACACCTCCGATGACCCAAAACTGTTCGTTTCTCCACCACTCGTCAATTCCAACTCCACTCCATCTCATTTCGAGAATTCCGGTTGCGAAGATGGAAAGAAATAGGGATATGAACCATAAACTTGCGAGGTTACTAATCTGCGAACATGAAAACATAATTAAAAGAGTAAAATTGTAAGAATATAGTAGCGTGAAGTTGAAGCAAACCTGGGGAATGATGAATTTTCCGGTGAGAAGACAGACAGCTGGCAGAGTACAGTAGACGACGAGCGGAATTGAGGTGATTGGATAGATTGTTGTGTTGATGTATGCAAAACGTTCGAGCCATTTCAGGCGTCCATTATATCCATACCAAATAGGACAATGTCTGCTGAAGAGAATTTCAACTGATCCCAAAGCCCATCGAAGCACTTGGTTTAATCGATCTGATAAATTGATAGGAGCTGAACCTTTGAAGGCTGGACGAGGTGGCATACAGTATATCGATCGCCAACCACGTGCGTGCATTTTGAATCCCGTAAGAATATCTTCTGTCACCGACCCGTAAATCCATCCGATCTGTAAGAAACAGCAAAATGTACTTTCATTTATATATTTATTCGAAATAAAGTCGATGAGGATAATAGTAATTAGTAATTACTAACCTCAGTTCCCCAGTCTGTTTTGTCTTCATAGCCACAGCTGATAACATGAATAGCCTCTTTCAAAAGAGTCTCGGGTGCTGCAGACTGAGGCACACCTCCGTTCTCCATAAGTGTGGATGCAACAAACACAGCTGATTGCCCAAATCTTTTCTCAAGTGTCATTTGTGACATCAGCAATGACTTCTCATCATCAAGCCCAGCTCCTAATGAAAAATCATAGTTTTAACATAAATTTCAGTGTTGGTCCCTGTGTTACGTCTTTTTTGCATTTTTCGTCCCTAATTTTTTTTTTTTTTTTAAGGAAAGAAGGATGAAAAGTGATAGATGGTTGTACCTTCAACGCCTTCTTCTATGTCTTCTAGGTTAAATATTGGCACAGTGGGGTCAACATGTTTGCTAGATTGCTTTTTATCTAACCCTTTTTTATTTGATTGACTTTTCTTTTTTGATCCACCAAAGCAGCTTGATAAGAAACCCGCTTCTCTCTTTTTCTTGGGTTTAAGTGGAGGTTCATACCCGTATAGTGCTGTCCTATTGAAAACACATCCAGTTCCCACATAAACAGGACCTTGAATCCCATCTAAACCTCTCAAGTTAATCTGTCAAAAAAAAAAAAAGTTGTCATAACTCGTAAGAAAATAAAACTTAAAACAAGATTAAGAGATTGAAAATTTTTAAAAAGCTCACATCAAAAAACACGGTATTTCTGTTGGCGTAACGATCATTTCTATCAATTCCATCGAATCTTTGAGGAAACTGAACATAACAAACGTATTTTCCAAGGTTTGGATCCATCATGAAACACATAGCTTCCCTCACTGCTTTACTGTTGTTGATATAATGATCACAATCAAGATTCAACAAGAAAGGCCCGTTTGTAAGCACTGCCGATACGCGAACCTACAGGTTTTCAAAGTTTTTAAGGGTCATTTACGTAAAGATACAAAACTTAAAAGGGTTGAATATGAAAAATTACGCACAAGTGCGTTCATGGCACCGGCTTTTTTGTGATGTTGAAATCCCGGACGCTTTTCTCGGGAAACGTAGACTAGTCGTGGCAGCTCATTGCCTTCACTATCGAACCCACCACTCTGACCTAAGAAAACCTGGAAACATCAAGTGTCAGATAAGGGTATAATAGTCATTTGACATCTTTTTAAAAAAGACCAAAATGCCCTTTTTAGCAATAGGAAAGGAAAGTACCTGGATCATTCCTGGATGATCTCTGGTGTTATTTCCAGGCCATGGTGTGCCATCTTGCATTATCCAGCCCTCTTCAGGGACCTTTTGAGCCTTGGCAACAAGGGCATTTATACGGATTTTGAATTCTTCATATTCTCTCTGCAAGGAGTAAACATATTGATAATCCAATTAAGTTATCAGATAAGAGTATAATAGTCATTTTACATCACCTAGTGACCATCGATGCAAAAATAAGTTGGTTCAAATCCTTATTCATTTCTTAGTAAATAACAAAGATGTAAATAATCTCACCTTCATAAGTCTACGATCTTTGACAAATGTTGGCTGAATTTTATCTTTCAAGTAATCAATTTTCTGGTTGAAATACCATTCAGGAGCTCGGGGTTCAATGCTATATTTTTTACAAAAAGGAACCCATTTTCTTGCAAACTCTGATGTTTCAGATAAAGCTTCAAAAGTCAACATGGCAGCTCCATCATCAGAAACATAGCAAGAAACTTTGTCAACTGGATAGTCAACTGCAAGAATAGATAGAACAGTGTTTGCTGTGACTAGAGGAGGCTCCTTTAATGGATCCACTGTACTCACAAAAATGTCCACTGCAGCTAACTGTGATGTTTCTCCTTCCCTATCATACCTGTTATGACAAGGGTATTCATGTCTTTTTTCACAGATGACGCCTAATAAAGAGTCAGATGAGGAAGTATATTTATCACCTCAGAGCTAATCTATCAAGATACGTTTCACGATTTACAGGTAGCCATTTGGGGAACTGATCCAAAATCCAAGATATTGCAAACCAGATCTCACATATAACAGAGAGTAGCCACAAGGGATATGCATTTGTCACTGGATTTGTTATCCGATAATGCAAGAAGATGCAAAGAATCACCAACCGAAGTACAATAACCATTCTGTATGGATTAATCCTTGATGATGGAATTGAAACCTTCCTTGAAAGAGGCTGTCTGGCTTCATCATTCCTTCAGGAAACAAAAACAAAACATAAAAAAGACTCCTTTCAAATTTACCAAAAATTATAGTCAAATTATTGACTTACAACAATGAGTCATCAACTAGAACATCAGTAGTGGCATCAATATCTTGACCTCTTTCAGAAGCAGCATGGCTAGTAGTCAATGGAACCACATTCTTGTCTTGTTTTAACTTCCATCCATCAACTCTTTCTTTCCATGCAACATTCCCTAATCCTGCAGTTCCAAACTCCCTCACAGGGTCCACAACCCTGATGTTAGCTGCATAAAAAGTAAAAACATTTTCTTCAAAATGAGAAAAATGTATCTTGAAGATAAGATTAATTAATGTGGTATGATTGAAGCATAAAACATACGTGATTGATTAACATCACCATGGTAAGGAAGGGAGTGTGTTCTTCTACCCCCTGGTGGAGGAGAGGCCATTGAAAGACGTTCAGGGGATGCTGCAGAGAACTCACCAGAAACCTAACAAAAAACATGATTACATATTAGGGTTAAAAATGAAAAGAATAGTAAAAGACAGAGATGAAAGTAGGATGCTATACTACGCAAGTAAATGAAGCATCCAACCTCTTGTGCACTGGTTAGTGAAGGTATGTGGTTACGAGGAATCTCTTTATCATAAGCTGGAGCATTTGTATCTTCCCCTCGTCCGTATGTCATGTGCCAGCTCAGCATGCGCTGTGCTATCTTCTGCTTATCGGCTTGACTTTCTGTTAAGGGAAAGTCAGCAGTATTCTCATCAACATCAACATCAACATCCTCTTCTTTGTCTCCAAAAACAGCAGGGCTTCCTGTGTTCAACAAAATCAATGAGTTCATATAAAGGAGGACAAATACCACATATGTTAGATGATACTGCTAAACATCATTCATCCAGAAAGCACTTAATGACATGAAAAAGAAACAAAGTCTTAAACAAAAAAATAGGGACACTTTGAAGTAAATCAAAAGTCAAAACCTTTTTGTCTCTTGTATCTGGTTTTGCATTGAGGGCAAGACTGATTGCCATCTTTGCGCTCATATTCATAGCATGGCCTGCAAACTGGGAATGCACAGACATCACAAGCAACGAACAGTTCTCCTTTTTCTGTGCTGCCAACATTATCGCCACATATCTGACAAACTTGACCTCCCACAGTCTTCAAAGACTTCCCCTGCACAATCAAAACATGAAGAATGTAAACTGAACCAAAAAGGCTAATCTTCCGCTTAACAACTGTAAAGCTTCTAGTGTAAATACAGATACTAACCCCAATTTCTCCTGATTCCATTGTGCTTAGCTCGAAACCAACCAATTGCAAACTCAGCAATCTATCAACGAGAAATGCTTCTGCGGATCATAGCTAGAAGCCGTAAACGTGAAGACCTGGTGAAAATCACAAAATCAAATTTCCTTATTCTAGCAAATTCATATGAAATTGAGTAAAGGGAGGGGTATTAGAAGGTTGAATTCCGGTGCATAGGCTTGTTATCGGATTTTGAGATTAAGAGCAAATCGGTTAATGCAAACATAGGCATGCAGATCATAATGTTCCAAAAACGATTATACCGTAATTTGGTAAATTTGATCGTAGTGCACGCCGTACAAAAAAACTACTGAATTTCTTCAGAATCAAAACGACTGGATAGATAATCAGTGAAGTTACCAGATGAAATCCGAACCGAGAACTGAGGACTAAAAGATATTGATCGAGTGGAGAAGATCGATAGAAGCCTTTTTTTTAGTATGTCTCTTTGTAAAGGTAACGATTATATGAATAAAACAAAGATATATCTGGTGGGTGAATGATCCAAATCGTACAGCTGTTAGAGATATATAATTGATAGAGCAAATTGCTTACCCCAGACGAAAGCGACGCTGTGGCTACTGAATTCCACTGTCAATGCTCTCCTTTCGTCTCCACCGACACCGCTAAAAAAGTACTACTTTCTCTGATGACTGAATTACAAAAATGGACCCTGTACTATTTGGCCACATGCACTTTTTGTTCATTTTAGGAAAACAAGTACATTAGTAGTTCAGTCCACTCCCATACGCATCTCCCCGTCAGGACTAGGAGATGACAAAATTGTAAAATTGGGGTCGTGATTGTCAAAAATCTATAGTTTTGGTTCAAAAACGTTTGGTGGTGTATTAATGGTTTAATTATCGATTTTTTTAATGAATTTAGTCCCTCTACACTTAAAAAGACGAATATTCTCTTATAATTTATATTTTTTATTTTTTTAATTGCTGAAATATATAAATAAATTTACTTTATTTTTTTTAAACTTAAAAAAAACATAAATGAATCAATAACTCAACCTCCTCTCATCTTTACAGGAGGAGAGCAGCCCCTTCATCACCATCTCCACCCTCCACCCTCTACCATCATCGGTGACTGGAACAACTGTCGGCGACAACCATTCTTGTCGGAGTTCACCAACGGTTTTCCTCTCTAATTTTGATGGTTGGAGACTTCTTTTCTTGGGGCGAGTTCATTTCTCACCAGAAAACATAAACATTTCATCTCCTATCTCATCCCGTCCTCTCATTCTTCAAGATAAATCTAGAAAAAGCTGCACCCTTCCCCTTCGATTTACAAAGTCTTGCCGAAAAAATGTGCTCAATGGGTTGCATCTGGTTCGCCACCACCACCATCTCTACTATAGATCTGTTTCGAAAACACTGTTAGATATGCAGGTACGATGGTCGCCAATGAGGGTTCAGTTGGTCGGAATTATGAATTAAGGGTGAATAATGAGAGTGTCAGACTTGGTGATGGCAGAGGGGGGACGAACGCAGGTGACGACAGAGGGGTGACCGATGATTTTCTCTGACAGAGAGAGGGCGAAAGAAAGATGTAGAGGGGGTGGGTTGGATGATATTTTCTTTTTATTGTTTAAAGAAAGAAATAAGAAAAATAAGTAAAAAAAATTAAAAAAAGAATTATTGAATGACATATTTGTCATTTCAGGTTGGGTTTGGACCGAAACTACAACAAAATGTCAACCATAAGGACCAAAACCACTTAACCTATCCAAAATTGGACTATTAATGCACCACCAAACATTTTTGGACCAAAACTATATAATTTTGACAACAACATAGACCGTTTTTGCAATTTTGTCTTAGGAGATTGTCCCAACAAAGTAAAATAGATAAGAACGTGATTATGTTTTGACTAAATTTTTGAACTCTTAAAATAGAATAAACACCCATTTTATAAAGATATATTCAATGTAAAACCATTTGTTCATAAATTGTAAGTCAAAATCAGAGTTATAAAGGAAAACATCGCGAAATCTTTAATCATAAAACTATTGATGTGTGTGTATAATCGCGTCTTCGCCTTCTCACGATATGATGAAGTACCTGAAAAAACATTTAGGTGTTGTTTGTTTTTTGTCTGTAGATCTTCTAAACCTCAAATTTTATTGGTTAAAGATATTAGTATAGTATGCAACGACTACAGACATTTTTCTGGATATATTTTAGTACACAATGCAAAACTTTTTATGTCCTCAAACTATACAGGTTCGCGTTTTTGTAAAATTATTTCACCAGAACTAGGAAACCACAAATATATTATAACATATTGGCTCAACTAAATTTTAAAATTTGCATTGAATTATCCTACATAAACTAGCAAACTTAGTTTTAACACAATAATATCAAATTTTAAAAATTTCTACATTTTTATTTTAGACCATTTTTTAAATATATATTTTATTTTTTAACAATCTAGCATATATATATATATATATATATATATATATATATATATATATATATATATATATATATATATATATAATCTAGCATGTTTGTTATCCTTTTTCGACCCCCTGCCCCATATTATCATACAATGCCACCATTGTATGCATTAAACAGATAAAATTAGATAAAAGCTAAAAGGGGGAAAAAGAAAAGACTCCCCTGGGGTAGTAGTGGTGAGATCGAAAAGATTGTTGTGGCTTGGCATTGAAATCTCGAATAATAGGTGGAAAATTGGACTCTGGAAATCTGAACATCCTTGCTGAAAACAATGGACACTTGACAAAGAAGTAGGCGAACAACTAAACTTCAAAGCTTGAATATAATACTTTGTATGTGGCTTCGGCACGTCGTGGCTAGTAGTGGACCACGACGTGGTCCCTGGAACTTTAGTCTCAAGAAAACCTTCGTCACGACGTAGAGTGAAAATTGGAGAGTCGCGGGTTAGCTAAGCTTGTGGCGCGGTTTTGTGAAAATTCATATTTCTTCATCGTTGAATGAATCGACCAGTCTTGAAGTAGCTAATTTCTCGACCGGTCCCTCATATCAATTTCTTCCCATATGTAACAATGATAGCTTCATAGACTCTAGTTTTGCTCCAAGTCGAATGTGCCTCCCGCAAACTGCTTCTTGTTTAATTTTAATTCGGTAGTTCTTCATTTAAAAGATGCAAGTCGTCTCTTGTACGCCTTCTTCTTATTTTCATTCTTCTCCGAGCTCATGCCTTCATATTTCTTGTGTTTCTTTCCTATATGAGCCTTATGTTCGTTTTAAACTTTAATCTTTCCACTCTTTGTAGCACCTTTCTTATTCGCATCCCCGAAAAACTTTAAACTTTTTTCACACTCTGCTTATGTAACTTTTTTCACACTCTACTTATAACAGTTGTGTTTCAGTGTGGTCATTGATCTGTTGCGCGATGCGGTAGAGGTTCTGTCTTTGTGACAGATTGTGATTCTTCTTCATACCGCGACGCAGTCTCATCCTCACCGCGTCGTGGTGTGCATTTTCACGCTACTTTTTTCTTTATTCTTCCAATGGCTTCCCGTCCTCAAAAAACTCATTATGTTCATTAGTTTCTTCAGTTTGCAACATCATTTTCATCTCGTCGTTGGTTGATCGTAACGACTTCGTTTTATCGACTCTAAAAGTGATTTCGTCAGACCCCACTCGTAATGTTAAGTTAGAGTCGTGAATATCTACGATGTAACATCTTAATTTTTCAGGTATTCTCTTTTGACCCTTGGATTGTGATTTGTTTGCAAGATTGGTCCCCAATGGCATTTTCGTAATTTTGGCCATGCATGAGTATGTTGGGCGTACTTTGAGTACGTTGTGCGTATGTAGCCAGGGTGCAAACCCCTAATTTTTAGGATTTGGACCCTATTTAAACATCTTTATGGCCTCATGCACCCTCTTAACTCCAACCTATTTCCTCATTTTCGAAACCCTTAAGTTTGTAAGTGCCTTATGAAGCTTGAAGAGCCTTTTGGTGCCATTTTGGAGCTTTTGGAGAAGAAGGAAGAACCTTGAGGTTGTGGTATTTCCCTCAAGACCTTGGATCCAGCATCTACACTCCCTTGTGCACCTTTTGGAGGTATAAAGCTCCAACCTAGATGAGTATTTCATTTAGATCTAGTTATAGCTTAAAGTTGGCACGTATTTGTTACTGTCTTGATCTTTGTGGGTATGGGATACTCCAAGACGTTTGATTTGTCCTTTTAGATGTTTTAGGGTGTGTTAAGTCATAAAAATGTGATCTTGGACATTAGTTTCTTTCCATGCATGATCTAGATTGTCTTAATGGGTAAAGAAGCTAGGGTTTTTGATGCTAAGGTCTTAATAGCCATGCAAAACCATAAAGTTGGAAACTTTATGGTTAAGGACACCTTTTAGGATCTAAATATGGATTTTAGACATAAGTGCTTAAGGATTAAGCACTTAATGGATGAAGTTGAGGGCAACCGCGTACGTTGGGTGTACCAAGGGGTACGCTGTGTGTTCGTGGTCAGCTCCCCGACTTTGGTCAATGTAACACCCTGATTTTTGGTATGTATGCTTTTGCACCCTTCATTTATCAAACTTTGCATTTTGGCCCTTTAAGCTGGTTCGCGCGGCGTACCACTTGGTACGCTCAGCGTACTGGCTAGTATGGATCGGGACAAGCGGGTGCGTACGTTGGGCGTACGCTATGGTACGTTGAGTGTACGCGTAGCTTTCAGAAACCCTAATGTAGGGTGTTGCACCTTATATATTCATCCTTAACCTTTTAGTGTTGGCCTCATCTTTTGTCCCTCAACCTCCAGAAAATCCTAAGCGTCCCCTTAGCCTCCATTTAGCACCTTTGAGCTTTTGAAGTGAAATTTGTGTGTTTTGGGTCCATCTTTGAAGAACCAAGAAGAGAGTGAAGTTCATAGCTTAGTGGGAGATTTGAGATCCAGAACTCTCCATCACATTGCAAGCTTCTTCATGTATAAAGTTCAACCTTGACTTGTCAATGTCGAGTTTCCTTTATGGGTTGATTTGGTTCATTTTGGTCCCTTTTTCATGGATTTATGGCTTGGGTCAACTTGATGGGACCATTTCTCTATATATGACCTTGTTAGAGGTTTCCTTGGCATAAAAGGTGCCAACTTTATGGGGTTTTGGTCATCTTTCATTTATTAAGTCATTGCTAAGCTAAATAGCTTCATGTAGCCATGCATGAACGTAAAGTTAGCAGCAACTTTACGTGTTATTTTTGTTGGATTAATGTCTAAGTCCATAACTATAATTGGTAAGACTTGACCCGACCCGGCATGGTCCATTTGGGTTGCATGGCATCATGCATTTGGATAGACTATAATGAGAGAAATAACACTTAAGGTTGGTTAATATATTATAAGTTCTAATATATTAATAAGGTTATTTAATTAGTATTGATCAAGAATTAATTTGGAATTAATTAAGTGATCAAAAGGAGACTAATTAAATATATGGGTTCATTGTGTAAATCATTCATTCTTATATATGTGGGCTTGTGATCCAAGATTCCTTATGTTGGACTAAGTCCATGGGG